TATATTATATTATATACTTTCATGAATGATGAAATATCAAAAAGACATTTAAATGAACTTATGAAGAAAACGAAACAATAATGAAATTAATGTAATTAATATATAAAAATACAAAATTGTAGTTAAAATAGTAAAATAAAATGGACCATGTTAGTAGATTATTAGCACTGGCCATTTCTTATTATACTGGCTTTTAGTAAGACGAGGCAATTTTGCTACAAACGCATAAAATCTGCGGCATAAAAGAACAGATGGATCTTCAGCGAAATCCTGAGAAAGATTCAGCAGTAATAGACGCTAAGCCATGCAACGATACAAGAAAATATTTGGTTTCCTCAAAAATATTGTTTTTCTGAATTTTTTAATAATGTGGTTTTCTCTAAAATTATTAGTAATCCAAATTATAATATTGGTACTTGCACCATATTAGCACGAATTTGTCGTGCAAAATAGATCAATTTTTTTACTATGATTTGCACTTGAAAAGGCTAAAGTGCTAAAAATTTAAAATCTTCATTTAATTTAAAAATTAAATTTCTGCTATAAAAGGTACTTTGATGAGGTATTTGAAAAATATTGTCAAAACTGCATTGATTTTTGGTAAAAATTAGTAAAATATTAAATGATTAGTTTAGAAATTTATGAAACGTTAAGTTATTCTTGAAAATACACCGAAATATGATTCTGAAAACCACGAATTCTGATAATTAATGGTAAAAAAGTTTACTGAAATAAGAAAAATGGTCAAATCCGTTAAAAATTATATCTGTGGGAATAGAGTTGTGGTGAAAGATTTAGTTGATATAAGAAGTAGTGCGAATAATATTTGACCCATTTTGCAAAATACAATACAATATTCAGTGCATTTTCATGTAAACGATTATACGATGATCATGCACTTGTCATGAACATTATTTATAGGATTTATTGTTGTAAATTATCTATCTTCTCATTTTTATCATTTATAATTCGCCTTATTTCCTTCTAAACGAGGAGCAATTTTAAGAAAGATTTTTCTATGGCACTTAGACTAAAAATTTGAATAACTCCAAGCAATCCCCAAGTGATTGGCCAACAAAAATTTTTAATCGTACTAGCAGGCAGCGGAAAAATGGTGATAGCAAACCATTTATTTATTTGTATCCTTCAATTATAGTGTATTGTTATGGCGACTATGCGAAAAATGATAACGATAATTTCTCAAACTATAGGATTTCTTGAAAAAATCAATGATGACACTAAAAATTTCCAACATCAATTTAACAGCACAGTCTGAAATTTTGAATAATTTCAGATACTTATAATTTTTAATCAATTAAAATAGGAACGAAAATGAAATAGTCAAAATTTAAACTTTTAAATTCAAATTATATTTCATTTTTGTCGCTCAAAATTTAAATTTACATGAAATTACACGACAATTACGTGGGTAATGCGAACATATAAAACAAACCACAAATCGTTTGCCACTCATTAATGGTCACTTTTAGGTCACTTTAATACATTTTGTAATTTTTCTATGTCAAAGGATGAAAAGAAAAACTTGCATTTTAACCTTAATGTTGTAAAAAGAATATTGAAGAATTCTGCCGTAAAGGAAAAAAATTAGAATCCATCTCAAATATTTTTTGACATTAAGAACAATACGAAAAGGTGTTATTATGGCAATTCGTACTTTTATCTTATGTTATATTCGAGCAATTTAAAAGCGCCGTTTGCCATCGGAGTCAATCTAACCAGTGGCCAACTGAATGCTGTTAGACAAGGAAGAACAAGAAGAATAGTCATGAGAACTCTTCTCATGCAAATTATGCAAACTGTGAAATATGCACTTCTCATTCTATTAATTAATTTTTCGTTGAGTTATATCTTTCTTTTTAAAATGAATAATGAAACTGGTCAAGAAATAAGCTAGGAACTACTGAAAATTCCTAACGAAAATTTGAGTCTCAATTATTTTCGATAACATTCTTTTATTTATCTTCCTTTATTCATCTGTTGGAAACAACCAAGCAGGGCGACAAGCGCCATATGTTTGCATTGATGTCGATGAAAAAAGATTAGTGAGCGATATGTGATAAAAAAAGGACAAAAAGCTAAGATAAAGAAAAATGATAAGCAAGGGCGAATTACGAAATAAGTGAATGTATTTCTGACACATATTCAGATCATAAATGGTCGCGATCTCAAACTGCCTTTATAATGTGAATCTTTTAAATAATATCCTGGATGGTATTATTTAATCTTTTTCAAAAATAGCTAAGGATGATGCACAAAGTATGATGATTCGGCAGTATTCCAGTAATTAATGGTGCGAATAAAAAAGTCATGCGCCCTTAGTTCTGTAGTTGGACTTTTATAATTTCAGCCCATTAGATGTTGTTGGATTGAAATTTAACATAAAATTTAAGTGTTTATTTTAATTAACATTAATTAACATTTTAATTAACATTGACATTATTATTTCCATTATTTTTAAGATAGTGTAGTTCCTTAAAATATTTTTTTTTCATATGGATTCATTAAAAAAGTTCTAGAGAAAAGGTATATTTTCCACAACTAATCAGTGGTACCTTGCTAGCAGAGATCATTACGAAATTTCACGAAAATCTTAAAAAAAAAATTATGGAAGGCAAAATTAGGTCACATATAAATGTTAAAAAGACTCAGAATTTAGTGTCGGGGTTTTTGAAATCTTCGGTATCATTTTTTAACTGTTCGATAGATGGATGGATGAGTCATAAGGAATCGCCAAATTCTTTGCGAAATTCCCTTTTCCTTAAATTTTTCTACAACCTATCGGTTCTGTTTTTTAAATTCGAGTCGTAAAGCAACGTCAGTTGTTTTTAAAATATCCATGAAATTACTTAATATTGAACATGGAAAGATTGAATGAATGGTTCAGTGGATTCATTGAAACGCTTCTTTTAAATAATTCATAATTCAGTCGATTAATTTAAAAAAAAGTCTATTACATTAGTAATTTGTTCAAAATAATTTTTGGAAAAATTAAAAAAATCTTCATGAAGGAATTTTAGTATTGTTCCAAATCTTTTGCTAAAATTTACATTTTAAAAAAGTGTCCTCACCATTACTGGTTAAACTCACTCCGCTGACTTATCACACTGGAAAAATGTGTCAAGGAAATATGTAGTTTCTTGGCGATAGAAGTACAGATGAGTGGCCAGCGTCACTCGGATTCTTGGACAGCTTTACTCCTACGGGGAAGAGAACGCCTCGGCATCGACGCTCCGAACTGAGCAGCAACCCACTAAGCCATTCCTATCACTAAAATTTACATACTTTCAAAAAATTATTTTAAGGGGATAAAATTAATTGTGTTGGTTGAATTCGGCAAGAATGGATAAGGTATTTTTTTTATTAATTAGCTATAGTTATTCCAAAATTATTATTATTTTTTTCCTATTTCCCGAAGAATTATGAACAGATAACGGTTAGATAATCAAGTGGTATGTTAAGCAGAATGGATTCAATATGGATTCAATCCAGTCCTTTGTAGAACGACTGAATAAAAATATATATTGTTGGACCAGACCATTTTAAAAAATAATTTGTTCTTCCAAGACAACCAGTACCAGCATGATAAGGAATTTTGAGTAGTGTTAGAAGAAATGTAACCACTACCTATTGAATCATTAGATCGAAAGATGGATCCACAATAAGTAAAATGAAAATCCAATTTGCAATGCAATTTAATTTGAGCTCGGTAAAATAATAATTTGTATATTCAAAGGTGATAGAAAGTGAAGAAGCCAAAAAACAATTCAAGGTAAACTCAAGGCGAGTGCTTTGCCTCACGATTCAACTTCAGATTCAGTTAATTACTTGTATATCAAGCATCCTCTTATTTATTTATGGGCGAAACAAGTTTAAATCATATTTGTAAGTGGTTTGCAAGTGATCTGTTCTTATATTTAAAAAGAGGTAGATTGACTGATGGGTTGTCGTTCTCATTTAGACGCACGTTGAGTTTTACTACAGGAGAAAAAAACCGAGTACCACTTGGAGCTATGGAATAAAATTGTCAAAAATTTTGATGCCTTTTTTAAAAAAAATATGTAGCATCTTATCAAATGGAAGATTTCAGCAATATTCTTCCAACGTTCACGCAAGGGATCGGATTATTTCTGGCGATTTCAGCTGCTAACATATTCGCATTCACTACTACGATTATTGCCAATATTCATATAAATCGACTTAGTTTATTTAAAGAGGCGTAAGTTGTTAAGTTCCTTCTTAAGGTATATATCCATATTTATTTAAATATGATCATATAGTATCATAATTAAAATATATTTTAAAATAATAATTGGCATTTCTCGCTGTAGAAATTTTTATTGGGGAATCATCTGACGATAGAACTATAAGCGAGTCGCCAGCGCCAACTAAATTTTTTAATGACGGCTTTAGTTATTGAAAGTAGGACCCAAATCCATGCATTTCAATAGCAAAATAATAATAATAGTGAGGGTAATGGCAACAATATTGGTAATATAATAGACAATAACAATCGAAAAACAATAATAATAATACATAATCACAGTTGATAAGCAATAACAATTGATAACATAGTGATTAATAATGATAGCAACAAATAATATAATAAAAAGCAATAACAGTGGTAAATTAGCAATATAATTTAAAATAGAAAAGTAGAATTTAAACGTAATTTGAAACTAATAAAAACTGAGATTTATCAAAAGCACTTTTTAAAAAATTAGAGAATTTTAAAAAATCTATTAAATTTTGCCTATTTTTACTATTCATCGAAGTAAAACAAAATTGCAAATTAAATTCCAACGACTTTCTCTTTAGAAATGTCAAAAATTATTTTATTTCTTATTTCTCATAAATTACATTTACAATTTTCTTCGTTATTATTGTTTAAATCAGTTTTCACTTGAAAAAAATATTTTAGATTAAAATCTTTAAAACGCTCTCTTAAATCAATTCGCACTTCTGCATTTCGTTCCATTGCAATGTCCAATCTAATCGCTGCACTCACCGCTGTTGCTTTCGGAATTTTATTATTTTCCATAGAGGACGAATGGCGACAATTGATACGCACAAACCTTCAATATTCTATACAAAAGTCTATCGAGAATAACGAATTTGCTGATGTAAATTAGTCCAATCTCTTTCGCTAAAATTTCCCCTTTCCAATTCATTTCAATCACTTCAATAAGCATCAGGAAATCAATCGAATTCAATCACTGTTTCAATGTTGTGGTTTGTCAGTAAATGGCTCTGAACCGAAAGAAATATGGTTGACTCTGTTAAAAGTCGACATGGCTTTTAAAAATGAATTATTCAGGTTACTTTGCTATTTCTCCTCTAAAATCGATTTTTAATGTCGAATTTGCACTTGTTCTCGACCTGGAGAGGAACAATTTGCAGACCCTACAAAATGCTTCCATGGTCGTGTTGTCGTCACAACCATTCCTACTGCGATCATCTTGCTTTTGAACGATACTATACACAAATCAATGCAAATGTTTATAAAAAATGGCCGTCTTATACCAAACATATCAACGAGAAATGGGTTTTTTGTTTTATTATGCAATATCCCTTATTTCTAAAATCCTGCTGCCTCATCTGTCATTACTTCAAAAATTCGCTATATTTTGTACGGAATCATAAAACAGATCTTTTTCTTCAGCATATCGCTGGCGCCAAAAACCCATTTTTAATCCACAGACGACCCAGGCTAGCGAACGACATCATAATGGCCAATAACCAAGCCGAAGCATGAATTATAAATGCAACTAAATGAAAACTATCTCGCATAAAATATTAAAATTGACCAAACTCTTAAGATAAACAAATAATACAATATAATATTAAAACAACTGAAGAAATACCATTGTATAGGAATGCGGATCTCTCGAAAACTGCAAAAATAAGCGAAAACTTGCGCAAGTTTCACTAAACAATCGCGATTGTTCGGAATCATTTGTCAATTCATTTCAAACTGTTATCTTCCATTGGAATGGTTCTTGTGCAATTGTGCTAGGTAAAAAAAAGAACTGTTTGGACCTCACGAAATAAGCCCATGCAGACCATTGAAATCCTATTAAATTTCAGGACTACAAATGCTTTTTACATCTATCACTGCGTTTTTTTTCGAGTTGACGGATGCCCGGGCCAATTATCAATAACAGTATACAATTTAACACTTCCCAAAAATTTTTACATTTCGAATATTTGAAATCACTATTCACAAATAATATATCGCGACAATAACCTGTACAATGACAATATTCGTTCCAAAATTATGCTCGAAATGCAAGAGCCATTTTTTTTTAAGAGTCGTCTTTCTGCGAGGAATCTTTTCCTAAAGAATTTTTAAAGAACAACATGTCTATATACATATCAATAAACAATATAAATAATATTCACGAGGTCAAAGTAAATATGACCTGTCGCCAACAAGCTACAGTAATAAATAAAAATAACAGCTTTTAAAACTATCATTGTTTTCAAGCAAAAAACCCGTTTGTCTAGCCAAGATGTTAAACCGGTTCTCTGGAGGATACGAACGGTTTGAGTTATAACCACTGAATTTTCAACGCGAGAAAAGAAAATCCGTATAATGGACGATAGAAATGGAGCACTGTGGACTGAAGTGCTAATACTTGTCAGTGATTTTTTTTGTGGTAAAATTGATGAGATCAGCATTTCCTATATTGTGAGGTATGGTAGTATATTTTTCGACTAATGCCAATGATGATGCCTTGTAGCCAATTCCTCCAATGCATATATATATATATATATCTATAGCATTAGCAAATATTACGAGATTAGGAAAAGGGAAAAAACAAAAAATAATAAGACTATATATAACCAAATAAATGATAATAATATGAACAATTAATAAAAACTGAAGATACCTGTCGCCATTACAATTAACCAAAATTAAAGAAAAAAAACAAAAACTATAATTGTAACAAGAAAAAAATGTCATTTTTCATTTTAAACAAATAAGACGAAATAAAAATAAGTACAATTAAAAAGAAAAAATTTTCTGCGGCTAACGCAGCTAAAACAAATATTTATTATATTCTTACAAAATTTCCGAAGAAAGGGAATGCAACTCTAGGAAAAAGTAAAAAATAAATTACACAGACTATACTTGTCGAGAAAGCGAAATGCATAATAATATGGTATTACTATCACCAAAAATCATAAAACAAGATAGAAATAAAATTAACGATAAAAAATTCGGCACTTCGCTATATTCTAACGGAAAACAAATGACTTCGATTTATATATGTATATATATATGTTGTCATACTGACTAATTTTTTACATAATCAGACATTAATAAATTATAGATTTTCCTTAAGGCTGGCAATTCGTTTTATCCAACATTCAATACATCTCTGATGATTATATTTTTATATTCATATTCTTCTTTCGATTATTCGTATTCTGTAGAAATTTTTTTCCTGACTGTTTCTACGGTACTGACTGCTATTTGAAAACTGCAGCATCTTTCGATAACACCATATCACTTTTTGGCATATCTTATCATTATTTAACTTCAACTTGCTGAGGTTATTACAACAAAAAGATAATTTTTCGTTCCTTGCTGTCGTACAACATCAAACAGGCCGAATGAACTGCGTTCCAGGAATGATGTAGCAAAATCGCAAGGAGGAAATATATGAACAATCATATTCGGCGAAGGATGTTTCTGAAAGAATTAATAGCCACGAATTGCAATGAAACATTATTAAAGTTTTTTTTTAAAAAAAAAAGCACGCTTCAAAAATTATTACGCACTTCATTACCGACACTGCAAATCCCTGCTGCTTGTTTTGATTCAAGATAGTCTACAAAACGTTCCTTCATTATTTCAGTTTGAGATTTGATATGTTCAAGGTTCATTCCACATGGAAGACATAACAAAGCTATATAAGATTGTTCGTCGGTCATTTTCACTTGCACACCTGAAATTGAATAATAATTGTAGAAAATATAATGCAAAAACAAATTTTATCGATTTTACATGAGGATTTCTTCCGAAAAATCCGGATTTTATTCAAATATCTGACAATGAACAAATGAAGAAATTTAGAGAACAATTTAAAAAATTCTTCACAATAAAAAAATAATAATGACTTTCTAACTGTCCAGTTTCCATCCTCATTCGTTGATTAATACGAATTACTTGCACACCATTGATTAATGTAGCAAGTTGAATTAGTGAATGTCTCAGCATATCTACATTGCCTTTCACCTTTAAAAAGAATTCAAAATTTAAGTCTGAAAAGAAATAAAAAAATAATCAAAAATCATTTGGAAAATTTAGTGGATCTTTTTAAAAATGTTAAAAATGTTAAAATAAAATTCAAAAAACATTAAAAATGTTTAATATAAAATTTAACGCACTTTATACATTTGTACAGTGGCTTCACTTGTTTTCAATGCGATAACACCTTGCCATAAAAAGGGATATTTCTGAAAAAAGAAAATTCCAAATTTATTTACAAAATAATGTTGAGCCAAAGAAATTTTCCAAACAAGCCATGAAAAATATGAAGATAAAGAAAATTTTTACGAAAAAAATTATGAAAATGATTAAAAACAAAGAAAATCATTTTTCTTAAAAAAAGCCATGAAAACAACAAGTAAAAAAAATTGCCAAAAAGATTATGAAATAAATCAATGAAATAAAATGAAATCAGTAAAATGAAGCAAACCGAAAGGGGTGTTTGTGTTGGATACGAGTTCTGTTGCTGATGATTTGTTGGTCCTGGAACATTATGATGCGGTTGTGTAATTTCTTGCTGCATTGGATGCTGTATCTGTTGGTGTTGCAAATGGTGCTGCGACTGTGAATGATGTGGTTGTTGAGGATGTTGCTGTACTTGTTGCTGATGTTGAATTTGTTGATTTTGCTGGAACTGATGTTGCTGGGCTTGCTGCTGAAGTTGTTGTTGCATTTGGTGCTGGTGAAACTGTTGTTGATGCAACTGCTTTTGTTCTTGTTGCTGTCGTTGCAAAGAATTAGGAATTACATTTTGCTGTAAACAAAAGTTTCATAGTATGTAATGAAAGACCTTTAATTATAATTAAAAGAGATCAAACCTATAACCAAATTTTTCGCTCAAATGACAACAAAATGACGAAAAACCTGTGGGTTTTGTTGATTATGTACAACTGCAGAATAATTTAAAGGAAAACCGCCAGCCCTATAAAGCGAATTCAACTGCTGTTGCGCTACTGCCGCAGCTATATTTTCCTCTTGCTGTTCAGACATTGGTAACTGTGCCTTAATAGAGTGTTGAAATCGTGGATCCTGCAAAATTACAACCAAAAATTCAAGGAAACAATATAGCCAATTAGAATAGAAGCGAACCAGCTAATGGCATGGCAAGATGGTATGAAAAATAATATTTTTCAACGGTTGATTCTCTTTTCTTTCCTAATAAATAGAAGAAAAACTGAATTATGAAAGATATGAAAAATTTTTTATGAAATCTAATAAAATATACGAAACAGTGGAGAAAAAGAAAAATTCTTTTTTAAAGAAAATACCGTTTGCATTTGTCCAGATGATTGATGCTGCATCTGTTGTTGCTGTTGTTGCATCTGCTGCGGTTGTTGCAGAGGTCTAACATGCTGCACAGATGGCATTCCAGAATGTCTAACAGTTGTTTCTGGTGCTAGTGCAGATGATGTCGTTGCAAAAGGTACATGGGATGAATTGTATGCATTTGACATATTAACACCATAGGCACTTGTTGCTGCTAAAATACTTGATAATAACAAAAAAAATTTATAAAAATAATAATAAAATAATAAAAATTTATAAAAATAAAATAAAATTGAATTAAAAGAAAATTTAAACCATGACGACAGCCCATTAAATTACCTTGATAAGAAAAAATTATTCAGCTTTAACAACAGAAAACAAAAATTACCATGAAACATTTCAGCATAATTCCTTATAACTTGTACCGTATTATTATCAGGTTGTTCCGATGCAACACCACCTTGACTAAAAAGTGTATTTCTACACATCTGAATGTACTGTTGCTGCATACGAGCATTCTGGAAAAATGGAGTGGCTGAAGTAGTTGGTAAAGAAAGAGTAAACGGATTCTGGTGCTGCAACGAATCAGTGGTGGTTACAGCTGTAGAAGAAACATTCGCGGATGATGACTGGACATGAGGAAAGCCAGGATGCTGATTTGTTATATGATGTTGCACTGCATTAGTTTGTTGTATTTGGCTTATTGAAGATGTTGTAGAATTAACTTGATACGATTTCCGAACAGAATCGATCCCATGGTTCATAATATCTGATTGCTGTTGATGGTGCAGTTGCTCTTGTTCTTGATCTGATCCTTGTTGTAATTGCGCACGATGAGTAATTGGTACCTGAAATGCCGCAAAATCGTCTTAAAATTTGGCAAATAATAAAAATGATAAATGATAAAAAATTATGAAGATATTACCTGTTGTTTCATGTTCGACTGTGGATAAAAATCGCGTGGAACCATCTGGCTTTGCTTATACTGAACAGCTTTGGATAAAGAAGTCGAAGATTCTGGAACATAAGATGGATGCGACTGATTCAGAGTATCAATTCGCTGGAGTGCATCCTGTGCCGTTCCTTGCTGATGAGCTGAATTCATAGATGCGTAGTAATTGGAAGAATAAAACAGGCCAGTTTTATGCTGCTGCTGCTGTAATTGTGGCTGACTGGTCTGCCGTATCACTAACTGAGAATACTGAGGTGCAAGCGTTGGATCTGAAGTCTGTTCTGCCGAATGAATTCGAGGGAAACCTTCGTGCTGTTGAGCTGACACCAACTGCACTTGCTGCTGTGGTCCTCTCTGGATTTCTTCCGGAACATTTTGTGGCAAATTTTGTATTGAAACCTGTATGTTCTGTAAAGGTCCTTGAGTCTGACTGCTTTCCATCGATGACGCATTATTTGATTCTTTTGAATACAAATCCTATAAATACAAATAATTAATCCTATCTAACATAATCAGTTTGCATATAAAATGTGCACTTGCAACTGCTCGAACGATTGTAGTTGTGACAGTATGCATAATCAACGTAATCAATCAGTGGCTGAGATTAAACATCGTCCACCTAAACAAATGACCGATATCTCGTGCAAGTACATGCATATAATAATAGTGAAAATAAAAGTGGAAATAAAGAATACTTTTCCCGACTACATTATACTAATTTTGCACGATAGGCATGGAAAAGAACTTACAATTTTTAAAATATTTCACTTTAGACGCTATTTTATGGAAAAAGCGACTTGAATTTGAGACAATAACTGCATAAAAATATGGCATAATGCATTTTTAAACAATTTTTCACACAATTTCTATTAATAGAAACAATCATGCCTATGTTATTGCGCTTTATCTACTGAAGAAAACAATGAACTGAAGAGAACACGACAACTTTCGTAAATGTCCAGATATTTAATGATGAATAAGTGAAGTGAATAAATAAAAATTTCCATGCATTAAGAATCTTTCATAAAGACTTTTGATTTAAACATTTCTGTAGAGTTTGAAGCATAATGATATAAGAAAATATCCATAGTTTAATCATACAAGGAATGCATCTTACTTGGTGCGTTGTGGTATGATGTGCAGATAGATATGGTGATTGAGTCATGCAGCTCATGGGTTGAGACATATGCATTGGATATCCAACGCTGCGTACCGAAACAGATGAAGGCTGGCCAACTGGAGGTGTTTGAAGTGATGGTGCTACAGAATGAGAATTTACAGATGAAATTGATTGAGGCTGTTGCTGTTGTGATGCTACAGCAGCAGCTGCAGCAGCTTCACGATCAGCTTGTTCTTTGGCTTTCTTTGAATTTATCAACATTAACTGATCAGCATCAATCTCCATATAACCACCAGCAACAACATCATCAATTACCTAAAGACACTTTAATGCAACAGAAATTTCTAACTTCAAAAAATCAAGAAAATCTAATATGTTTAAAAAAACTTCTGGTTTCGCATAAAAAACAAATATTAATATTAAAAAATATTTGTACTGAGAAATTTTCTTTAACACAGAAAATATGACCTCATCCAAATGTCCACCAGCATCGCTCATTTTACTACTTTCCTCCTTATCTTCTTCGGTGCTAGAATTTTGTATCTCTTCATCCTGGAGTAAAAATTTTCCATTAATATTAACTATTCGCAGCTAAACTACTTGCCATACTTTTTTATCCTAGCACTTGCCGATACTCATGCTGCATATATCGTAGTCGATAAAAATCTTTTATTTAACTTTTCCCACATAAATCTATAGAAATAACTGGAAATTTACCTGACTATCTTCCTGTTCTGAAGCAACAGCATTAATTGTATCTTCTGTTCTTATTGCTTCAGCTAAACTACTTCTACGTGATGTTCCATCGCTCATATAGTTGGATCTTACACAAATACCTTCTTCATCCGCACTTTGATGACTTGCCGTATCATCGAAAACAGAAATTGACTGCACTGCGTCCTCGGTCTCCTTCAAATGAATATCTGGTATTTCTAGCATGAAGAAAAAAAAAGTTTTCAAAAAATTCTGAAAGTTTCATTTTAAAAAACTTGTACTTCATCGTAAAAATTTCTTTTATAAACCAAATAATCAAGCAAATCATGCAAATTAATTGATTTATGAAAAAAAATCAAAAAAGCGAAAAGTGATATTTCTCTAAATACAGGATAAATACAACATAATAATGTCATGCAGACCTGAACATCGTGAATATCTCCCTCGATTTCATCGCGACCATGCAAGGAAACAACTCGACCCTCATCAATCAATTCGAAACTATCACTGGAATCATTTTCATCCATGCCTTGTTCACCATTGTGCTTTTCATTGAAAACGGACGAATCAAAAATAGGTTCAGGAGCGTCAATTTTATTTAATGCAGTTTTTTCATCTTCCACCTGAGTTTTTGAATAGGTTGATAGCATTTTCGAGCAATCTGTTTTATGTTCAAGATATGAAGGAGATGATGAATTAGAAATGCTTGTGCTTGGTGAGCTGTTATCCATAAATTCTGATCGAAGTTGCGATGACGTAAAAGATGGGAATCCATCTTCATCCGACCCATTCGCACCACCATCCTTCTACAATATGAATATCAACATAACAACAGAAGTGCTCATTCACCAATTTTATGATTAGAAAACGTAAGAAAATTCCAATGAAGACAAATTTACCAATTTGGAACTCAAGAAAAAAGTTAAATTTCCCGAAATTATGATTCCCAATTTTGTATATATATACAATATACAAAATACTAATTCCGAACTCTCTGCAATAGATGCTGCAAACTGCACGTATGTGCATTTAAAAAGCATGCAGTTATTGCTTAAACTACCTCAATCTATTCCACCCAATCCAAGACTGTCGCTAATTGTTCAATGAAAGCTTTTAATCTAACATTCTGCTTATAATAAATAATCTTTATATATCACCATTTTTATTTCATGCAAGACAGTCCATCTACAATATACACAGTAATTAAAACAGCTAATGAGAATATCAATTCTGTGCACAAAATAATCACATACAACCTTAGAATGCTTTATCTCAATCAATAGTTCAACTTTTAAGTTTTCAACTTGGCACTTTAAGCCTGTTACTTTTAGGAATTATACTAAGAATCCAAAATTTAATAAATAAGGCTATAAGACTGTAAACTTGAAATTTTAAATACCGCCATCATTTTGCGTTGATGCGAATCATCTGCCGGAAATGGTTCAGCATTTTCATTTTTAATATTCCTTTTAGCAACGAAATTAAAATGGTCTTCTTCATCAGTTGTCGAAACTGTACTATCTGCACCCCATTTGCTAGCATCCTCTAACAAACAACTTGGAATGGTCAATGGATGAGGACTGGATGCCTAAAAAGGTCACAAACCTATCAAAAATTCATTCTCCATATTTCCTAATAATATTTTTGTGAAAAAACGTACCTTCGAGGAGAAAAGATCAACTTCTCCATTGTCCTCAGAAAATTCGATCTTATCATCAGGTTTTATTATTTCATTCACCTGGTCATGCATTTCTTTTTTGATAGTTTTTCGAGAACCATGTCTTTTCATTGGCTAAAAATATAATTTGAAAATAAAAAGAACATTCTCACGAAATAACATAGAAAATACGAAATATTATTTGTTGTCAAACTTTAAAAGCACTTACTCTTTGAGGTATTTCTGTTTTTATTTTTTCGTCGGAGGTAGATGAACTAGACATTATATCTTCTTTATCGACCAATTTTTGTTTATCGTAATCTTTCTGTTTTTTCTTAGCTGAAATAGAAAGCAGTACTGTAAAAAAAAGCCCAAAAATTTATAAAATATCAAATCAAATAGTTTATTATTATGATGCAAATAGATAAGAAAAAATTCAATTTATTGCTTAACATATGAAATTATGAAAAATTTAAATCATCTTTACATCTAATAATTTCAACGATCATAATAATTTTAATAAACATGACTTTTTTTTCACTTTTTTAAATGATGAAATGATTTACCAAAATTTTCCGTTTTCGATGCATTAGCGTCGATATAATCATGAATATTATCTGCGCCTTCTTCAGAACCAACGTTTTCTATTTTATCAGAGGCCGAATTATTTTTTTCCAAATTTCTAACGCCTGTTTCAAAAATTTTTGGTTCATTAGTGTGGGTTTCGCTGGTGATACTTTCTTTCATCATTTGTACATTTGATCCATTTGCAGATTTTTCCCTCTTCTAAAAAAGAAAAGATTATGGTTCCAAAATGAGAAAAAAAGGAATATAATATACCTGTTTGCCTATATTACTGAAAAATATTTGAAATGGCATTGCTTTTTTTAGAATTTTAATGGATTATGAAAAAATAAAATATATAAATATATATGTAAATTATTTGCTAAAAATGAAAAAAAAATTCGTTAGAAGACGTAACCCTTTTTTCTTTCCTCAATTTCTTCACCAAATTTTTTTCACGCCTTTCGTTCGATTCAAAATCATTAGATTTATTGCTCTTTCTTTTGCCAGATTTTCTTTCATAATTACTCTCATCACCAAATATTGAAACTTCAACAAGCGATTTTCCCTGTAAATAAATTCTCTCTTCTATATGAGATGCAATTTTTATTTTTTGAAAAACAATTATGCAAAGTTATTATACAAAGGAATTATGCAAATTATGAATGTCGTGTAGATTCCTAGATTCCTTTGAAACTATAAGATTCCTTCTATTCCTTTGAAACTTGAAAGAGAGAAAGTAAGAACATCAGTGGATAACAACTTTTTCCAATGAATCATTCCGATACTTCCACGAAATTAGAAGATAAAACAAAGGTTTTCAAAAATCGGTTCATGAGATATCATATATTTTTTATCAAGAATATCTAGAAGAATTTCCAATTGATTTCCTTGAAAGGATTTTAATATTTGAAATATTATTACCAAATTATTCAGGAAAAAACTAGCAAAATAAAAAAGAAAAACGTATACTTCTCTTATAAATTATCAAAAGAAGTTTCCAGAAAGAGCTATTTGTTTCAGTTTGGTTCGAAAAAATTATTTTTGATGTAATTTCTAAATATGGCTTAATAGATACTTTAATATTTTCTTTAAATATAAAATAATAATATCCTTATACTGGTTTACAAAAAAGCCTTTCAACAATCTCTTATTTATTTCAAGAATTCTTTCTTCAAGGAATTCCCATACAGGAAGATTATGCTCCACAAAATTTAGAAAAAAAATTCAAGTGTCGAATTTCTGGTTATAATTTTTACAGAAATAATTGAGTAATAACAATAAAATTTTAGCAATACAGGAATTGAAAGTAGGTAATAATCAAAGTTAAAGAAAAAATATTTTGAAAAAATGTGTTAAATGCATTTTTTTGAGCCCTCACCATTACTGATTGGACTTATTCTGCTGGTATGTCACATACCAGGGAGTTCCTTGGCGATAGAAGTACAAGTAAGTACCCCATCAACACCCCAATTTTTGGAAAGGTTTACTTGTGGGGAGTAGAACCTCAATTTCTGTGCTATGAATTGAGGAAGAACCCACTGAACCATTCTACTCCTATAACTGGAAAAAGGTCCCAGGCAACTAAATGAAATAACAAGAGAATTATAATTACTAATTTTTAAAATAGCAATGTTATTCTGAACCATTATAGGAAATGTTTACGAAATCTTCAAATCTATAATATATAAATAAATAACGGCAACTGACCCTCCATACCATAACAAAGACATTGAGATAAAATAAACTGAGATACTGAGATGAGATAAAATAAAATGAAAAAATGACACAAATGAAATTACTCATACCTTTTTGACTTTCTTGGCAGAACTTTCTATATCTGGATCGGTTCCAAACAGGTCATCAGTGTCTAAAGTTTTAATTCTTTTCCTTGAATTTTCAATTTTTTTATCTTTAATAATACTTTCTTTTTCTACAGTCGATCCAGACGAATCTTCCACTCTTTTTTCTTTAGCACATTGACTTTTCACTTTACTTTTGCTAATATGCTTGTTTCTTTCTTTCCTTTTATTACTTATTTTATCCAATTCATCCTTCGTATCAAGTTCTTTTTTATCATATAGATCTTTTTCAATTCGACTGTATCTATCACCGATCGTAAGATCAGTGGGAGATTTATGAACAACCATGAATTCCTTTTCGTCACTCGAATATGCCCCAAATACATCGTCAAGTGATAAATTATGTTCTTTAAATTTTTTCTGAAAAATTTTTAAAATTTTAAACGTAATGCAAAGAATTTGGCTTTTCTGGAAAAACGAAATTGATTCTGGAAAAAAACCAACGTTTTTCTTTGTGGATGATTCCTTATTTCCAGTTGCCGATTTCTTTTTGCGATTTTTCCTTTGCAAATATTCCTTATCACTTTGAGAAGAATCTCGAGCTGAATGCTGAAAAAAAATTATTCATCATATTCATAACAAAGGAATAAAAGAAAAAAAGAAATTTATTTTACCTCGCTTTCTGAATCATCTGAAATTTTTTCATTAGCATAAACAGCCTTAGATGCTTTTGATGTCCTTGGTCGTCCAGCACCGCTTTTAGCTGGCTGTTTTTTATTCTTACTAATCATCAAAGTTGAATCACTTTCCGAGCCTTTGCTATTTGTGTATTCATCCGAAGAACTACTATCCAATCGAACGCGTTTACCACATTTCTGCATGAAATTTAAATGAACCATTAAGTTAAATTTGTCATTAAACTATTTCTCATAATATTAACTTAAATTTTTCTAAAATGTGCAAGTTTTCTCTTCTTCTAGCATCTTTCACCATTACTGGTTAGGCTCCACTGACTACAAGGATAAGACGCTTCCAGTCGGCGCGATCTGATGCCATCGGCGACAATAATAGAAGCCATTCCTTTTTCCATCGTCTATGTCCATATATTGTTGGTCCATCTATACGTTCAAAATCTTTTCTAACCATATCATTCCAGGTCTTGATTAGCCCACTTCACATGACGCCATCCATCACAACGTTTAGCAAGTATCGAAATATGCATCAATTCTTGTGGTGGTCGACGAAGAACGTGTTCTTATCAGCGAAGGCAACGCTCTGTGATAGTGCTATTAATGCAAGTGGTATATGAATGAAGATGGCTGCGATCAAGTGATATTTTATCCGCTCGACGGATCCGTAAAATATACCTTAGACAAAGGTGGTCAAAGGCAACTATAACATCCTCCATTCCTCCACCCTCATTGGCCATGTTTCAGAACCATACATATAGAAAAATCGAACGAATCACCGCTATACAGATGCGAACTTTCGTTGTTATGGTGATTTCACGACTGCTCAATAAAGGTTTCGTCAACCGGAAGAACGCATTTCTAGCTGCCGTGTCGTCCTTTGCCTGGTCATTAGTATTAGAGTGGAACCAAGGTATTTAAAATCGGATACTTTCTAGCCGGCAATCTATATAAAAAGAGGCATTTTATCAGCTTCTTGCACATAAAACGATAAAACTTCGTTTCATTTACATTGACCCTGAGTCCGATTCTCGTTGCAGTTGTTGATACATTGCTTATTTACATTCCGTCATAATCATCAGCAAAAAAGTCATCAACGTATTCAAGGTCTCTAATGCTCTGAACTGATCTGCATACCTCTTGAATGCCGATAAACGATAACCATTATCCAATAATGTCATAAATTTATTCAGGAGAGAAGCAAAAATTTTCCCAGAGACGTAAAGTAGGCTGATTCCCCTATAATTATCACAGGATGACCTGTCACCTTTCTGGGGAATTGGGAATGAAATTATTTTGCTCTAGTCATAGAATATTTTTTTCTTCCATACCAGAAAGTACATTTGTTAGAGATGCGTTATGGGCGATGGACAGCATTTGAAGAGTTCAGCCCGGAGAACATCTTCCGGAGTTTGGCGTTAAGTTTATGGATTACGGAGATTATTTCCTCTTCAGTAACAGTATTTCGTAGTTACAAACGTATGGCTCAACGAACGTATTAGCTATATCAGTGGTAACAGACGGCGCTTCATGGTTAAGTTTGGCCTCAAAGAATTCTTTCCATCTAATAAGATGGTCCTCTTGAAGATAGAATGGCTTAATGGATTGCTATTCAGTTCGGAGCGCCGATGCTGAGGTTCGATTCCCTCCAGAAGTGAACCTATGCAAAAATCTGGGTGATGTTGACGATTCATCCGTATTTCTATCGTCCAAGGAACTCTCTGGCAAGTTGCCCAATGCGACAAGCCAGTGGAGCAAGTTTAACCAGTAATGATGTGGACTTTTAAAAAAAAATGCTCTATTTGACACGCCATTACTATTTCTTACCATTTCACTGATCGTTCCACAAATTTTATGAAGGCAGAATTTTTTTAAGGGTCCTCACCATTACTGGTTAAACTCGCTCCATTGGCTTGTCGCAATTGGACAACATGCCAGAGAGTCCCTTGGCGATAGAAATACAAATGAGTTGCCAGCATCACCCGGATTTTTGTACGGGTTTACTCCTGCAGAGAATCGGACCTCAGCATCGGCTCTCCCAATTGAGCAACAACCACTGAGCCATTCCATCCCCAAAGAAATCGGGATATTTTCCTATTATCGCTTAATCAAGCTACGGTCTCCATTCTTAAGGCAATATCTATTTCTATTCTTTCCGTCGGGCTGCACTTGTAATTCTTCAAAGCATCCGATATTCAAAATTCCCTGACATTCGTGCTTTGGCAGACTTTTCAGACAGCTGGACAGTTATTTTCAATACCCAATTAGCATATTTTCTACTAGCATATCCTACTGTGGAAATGATTGACTTTCGAAGACATTCCTTTATTTGAGACGAGTATTTATCTGCCGTTCCAGAGATGTCACTGATGTTTATTTCATAGAGATGACTTTTCCGAGATGCCGGAAATAATAATAATAAAAAGTTCTTCGGCACAGCGAAAAAGTTTTTCACTACTGCCCGGCCTCCGATGCTAGATGTGCTATCATGGGCATCGTGATCTGCACGTGCATTCCAGTTTCTTCCGATTATAACCATATCACTCTTTGGCAGAGATGTTAAAAACTGAACTTCCGCATTGCAGAACTTACCTTTAAAAGCCGGCATAGGCCATAAGGTTACCGATTTCCACTCAATTAGAGTGGATCGAGCTTTTCAGACTTGATAATCGCTACGCCATTTCGCCAGTTATCCGAAGCACCAAACTGACATAGCCAGCATCTCTGCTCCGAGCTAAGTTTGTTAATTGCACAAGACCCGAACTGCGGGAAATGGATCCCCAACAAGCAGGCGACATCCAAACGATATGTAGAAAAAGTGTAGCGTAGTGTAGTTTGTCAGTATCCATAAGCTTTCTGACGTTCCACGCTGAAACGGCTAATAACTCGTCGCGAGTGCAGAGCGCCGTTTCCTTTGAAAGGTTTCGAACAATTGTCCTGGTTTGCGAGCATATTTTATTTATGAACCATGGGATCATTTTGCACCTGGATTGTATTCTTATTGCATACCACCAGACTGAGAGTAAGAGGACGCGGGCGCCGTATCAAGAATATTTGACCCTTTCACCATAGAGTCACTTGGGAGTAAAGTTATAGATCCCTAGCAATCATCCAAAAACGTTTAGTATATATATATATATATATAAATATAAATTTATAAATCAATTGCTGATGCTAAGAAATTTTTCCTAGAAAATCAAAATATAGATCAAATCCAAATAATGCAATATCAAATACCTGAGTACTGGCACTACGCTTCTTCGTCTTTTCACGAATGAGTTCTAGAGTCTTGGATGTCATTGGTGACTGATCAGTTCGTTTTGAAGACCTTTGTTTTAAACGATCGTACATAGAATAACCAGCAGCAGCTTCTTCTTCCATATATATCCTTTTCATTTCAATCTCAAACAACTGTAATTCACATAGACTAAATTAATAAATTAATAAAAACTAATAAAATTTCCATTTCTAATTCAAGCAACTAAGATTCTTGACAATTTTTCATTTCTCTTTAGTTTAAAGTTCATTTTTTCAAAATATAACGCTACTTCTTTTTATCTACCTCTTCAAGAAAAACCATTAATAAAAATCACAAGAAAAAAAAACCAATCTGACAATTCAATCTTACATTATAATTCCTATCTCTTGATGACTGATAAGAATCATCGCTATCAGAATTATATGAAATTTTTTTACGCCTCTTTTTTTTACGCGCCTTTTCTTTCGTTCTACCATCTTTTTCACCTTTACGTTTTTCTACCTTCAATTACATTAATGATATCAAATATTTATAAATTTTGTACTAATATATTAAAATATTTTAAAATTTAAAATATTTTTGCGCTCAGTAATTCTATTTAAGCTCACCCCTGTTGACACAGCTGGAATTTTTTGATAGAAAATTATCTGAAGACAGAAGCACAGGATGCCAGCAACACCACAATTCTTTGATGAGAGAAAAAAAATATATACTATTCCTCCAATTATTACTACAAAACAACTATAATTAAAAGGTTTTACCATATCCGCAATTTTATCCGTAATTTTACCATATCCGTAATATGAAACTTGAAAAGTAAAAAAACTAGCCTTCTTAACACTTGTTTTTTTCTCCATTTTCTTCACTTTTTCCTTTATTTTAACCTTTAACTCAGCCTTTTCATTTTTCTTCACTTTTTCCTTTTTCGATCTCCCTTCATTCTTTCCTCGCTCCTTCATTATTACATTTTCATTCACCATAATTTCTTTTTTACGTATCTGTGTATCATCTTTTTCCTTCATTTTTGCTTCATCATCTGCATATTCCTTTTCTTTTTCTTTCGTTATAATCATTTTTTCCTTTTCCTTTATTTTTTCGTCATTTTCAGAATCCTCGCATTTTTCTTTTACAATTTTATCTTTCACAGATCCTTTAATTTTTAGACCGCGCATTTGTTCTCTTTCTTGTAAAGCACCGCTATTCTGTAAATCAGAAAGAAAAATTCAGAATGAACTACAATACAGCTTTGCCATTTTCAGTTGCTTAACCAAATAACTATCTCCAGATCTAAGAAGCAGTTATCTACACATTTATTTTTTTAAAAAGCTCTCACTATTACTGGTTAGACACGCTCCGATGGCTTAGACAAATATGCCAGGAAGTCCCCTGGCCTCAATAGTATAGATGAATCGATTTATTATACTAACATCAGCCAACTAATAATCAAATTTTTTTTTATTCTAAATAAAATAAATCTAGATCAAAAAATAAATTATATGACGACTTACTCTGCAGATTTTATGGTTCATTGCACTTGAAGATTCAGTAATGCCTTTCCGAAGTGATTCACCTATAATATCCATACATTCGCCAGATGATTCCTTAGTGATACCTTTGCTACCAAATAATGAATCCATCTTATTTGGTTTATGCGTTTCGGATAATTTTCTGTGACTTTCACTAAATCTACTCGAAGTAGATCCACTTAAGTCATCATTCTTTGTTTTTTGTATCAATTGTTTTTTACGTGATTCAGATGAATCTTGTGCCTAAATATTGAAAAAATTAAAAAATAAAAATATTCCTATGAAAAAAAATAAAATAAATATACAAAAAAATCGATATAAAATAATACTTGTTGTCGAAACAATTCATTCAGCGATTCTGCATAAAAATTTCTCTGCGTCTTCATGCGATCATTGTACGAAGATGTGGACTTTATTGCCACCGTTACGGCACGATGAATAATATTCTGGAATAAAACTATCATACAAAAGAGAAAGCTAAAGCGAAATTTTAGCGAATCTTAGAATTATAAAGAATTAACAAAAAATGAAAGAATATTCATTCACTTTTTCCGATGTTGATTGAGAGATTTTTTGCATTGTATCAGTGGACGAGGGCACATCAGCATTTGAAGCTTTAATATGTGGTGCTTCAACAGTAGTATGATGGGCCATTGAAGAAGCTATTTGATCAGACTGTGAAGATGGATGTACAATTTTTATAGCAGAAGTTTCCGATATTGCTTTTGTCACTGAGGGTGATGACTGCATCAACTTGTTTGAGGTTGGGCTATCTGGAGGGGTTGAAATATTAATTTTCGTTGATGGTACACTTTGTGGTAAAGAAGACGTGAAACTGCTTGGCTTTATAGAAGATACGAAAGACGCTCGAGTTGCTACCGAAAGACTGGTCGAACCTGTGCTTATAATATTCAGAGATGGCCGATTTGAAGCAAGCAAAGTGACTTGAGGCGGTTTGGGAGAACTATCAAATGATTTCCAGATCGGAGACGCAAGTAATGATGATGCTGATGACGTCATTACAGTGGTTTGTGGAACGGAAAGATTTCCTCCCATTAGTGATGAAATGTTGTTAGTTTCTCTATATGCAGCATTTACCTTAAAAAAATAAACGCCTTATTAAAAATTTAATATAAATATATGTAAAGAAGAACTGGAGAAGATAAGGAAAGCAGAAGACAAAGCAATTCCAGTGCTAACTGCAGCGCTTGGAACTGTGATCCCTAAACTAAGGAAGTGGAGATCTTTATCCAGAACAATACTGCGCGGAACTTTCAATCTCCTCGGCTTTTAGGATCCAAGGTTGAGGATGATTATGACAACTCACAAATGGAGAGAAAAGTTTTTATATATATATATAAGCTACATCTAGAAAATAACTGACCAGTGGTGGCGGTGGTGGCGGTGTTATCAAAAGATTAGCATTTGCTGAAATGTGCGAAGACGACAGCAAAGGCGGCTGAGGAATCGGTGGAGGTGGTACACTAAAATTTGGGGGGAATGGAACATGAGGAGGTATAGCAGATGCAATAAATGCTGACTGCATTAATGCAGTTGGGCTCGGTGGTTCTGGTGGTTTTTTCAATCGTCCGTATGTAAGTGACGGAGATAAACTTTCATCTGAAGCATTTGCGCTCAAAGGAATCACTGATGATTGCGGAATAAAGATTGATAATGGCTTCGATTTTAAAAACGTATCCGTAGTTCCTGTTATTGAGGAAGTAATTGTTATATCTGGTTTCCCAACTTTTTTTACTGATTCTATGAAATTAGTAGAAGTAGATGGGACTTTTGAAGGACAAAGTTCAGCTGGTACAGACAAATTTTTCGCCTTTAATCTTTCCAGTTCTTCTGTGAATTTTGTAGAACGTTGAGAAGGTGATGACTTTTTTTCGAAATCTATTTGTGAAGATAATTTAGTTTTCTGAAAGCGAAATAAAGATTAGAATAAAAATTACTAATAAATTTCATCTTACCTTAAGATCGAACAAAAAAAAATCGATGATAATAGAAAATACTAAAATTGATGCAAAATTGTCGAAAAGTTAACTTGAAATTTCTCATCAACATGATCGAATTTTGCTCGTAATGCAAAAATTCTTTCACGCAAATGTATATTTGAATCGCTGATTGTTGAATGTTCACCAAAAATATCAATATTTGCCGGCGGCAATGCATGTAGAGATGACGTGGTAGGTGCATCAGGTGAAAGCATTGCATCACTACTACTTGTATCTGATCTCGATAATGATGGATGTCTTTTTACTGGGCCCAAATGTTGCAATGGGCTCGAATCCGCAGCTATCGACTGATCAAGATTACCTAAAACAAGAAAAATGAAAAACGAATTGTAAGGAATTTATTTCAATATATTTATTTTTCGGATGATTCACGGTTTCATCGAGATTATAAAAGAAAAAAATACCGTTGGTAAATTGAAGAAGAATATGATTGACCGATGGCACCAATGTTTTCGGTCGACAACTCTCGGGACGACGACGAATTGACGAATCGATGAGGTTACGTCCTACAGTGTCACTAGCAAACCTTGGTAATGGCAATTTCTGTTGCGTCTTTTGAAGTGAAGAGAAAATTCGTGGATCATGAACGTCTGTTAAATCCGTCAATTCCAGTGGGATTTCAACGGCTGGTTTGATTGGTTCAAATCCCCATGGCCACTTTATACGCTTTGATGTACCGCTTCCACTGGATAATGAATGACATTTGGATTCATTTGATGATTTCTGCGAAGAGAGGAAGAAATTACAACCCTGTGCTGCTGATAAACGAGTCCCTACACTTTTTACTTTAATCGATTGATTTCCTGATACTATAATTTTACCAGAAGGCTTCGAATTATGTTGAATTACATTAACCAGTGTATTGGCAATTTCTTCAATTTGATTGTTCTGAAAGTTGAAAATCTGATAAACTCATTTGTGCAAGGAAACATACCTCTGAAAAAATTTAATTTTAAGAGCGAGTACTTTTTGCGATTCAAGAAGAGTACTATAGATTCTCGCCTAAAGACATGAAAAAAGACATGAAATAAAAACTGATACTGGGATTATGTATTTCTATCCCACTTTCAAGTGTTCTTTGGAGAATCTTCAACCTAGCCAACGCAGCCCAAACCACAAATGGTGAATGCAAACAATGGCGAATGAAGTAGAAAAAATCTTAAAATCGCACAAAGAACAATAAGAGAGAAATTCTCAAAAAATTTCGATATTATATTAAATCGTAAAATCGTTGAAAAAAATTTCAAAAGATTTCAAAATTTCATACTGAGATAATTCGAGATTCATTCCCCAATTCAAGAGATGTAACTGTAGCTTCAGTAATCGAAGGACTTCGATAGACAACTTTTCCTTTTCTGAAATGTTTCTGCTAAAGAATTATTTCCACTCCATTGAAATCACAAATATTTTAGTTTCTCATCAGAATTACTCCACTCTGCCCTTATTTTTGAGAATTTTTTCACGACTAAACCAATAATAAACTGTTCAATAAAGAATTGAAACAATATCAATCCATGAGGAACTTTAAATGAAAAAACAAAAAAGAAAATTTTCTACATTGAAGAAGACGGTTGATTTCTTTTCACAGATGACATTGGTGCCAATTTAGCAACAGTTTTCAATTCTTTACTTGAACACGCCTCACTCTCTTTTTTTCTAGTTTCATCGCATGTCGGAATCTCGGTAGAAAACGGCATAGGATCAAGAAATTCCGCAGAGGGAACTGGTGGTGGCATCAATTTCACAAGCTCAGAATTTTGCGACTGTAGACGTATTTGAGTACTATCTTTCTTGGAAATATCCTTAAAAAAATGATTTCGGGAGTAAAAACGATTTTTAACTGACGTTCACAGATATTTTGAAAATTGCACAAAATCTTCAAAAAACAGAAAATAATAAAATATTTAAAATTGGAAAAAAATTTAAAATATTATTATTTGAAATTTAAAATATAAAAAATATTTAAAATTGTTTCTGATAATTTATTAAGTCGAATATAACTTTCAAAATTTATGATATAGGAAATATAACACATTTAATTTTTTAACAAAAAAATGTTTATCCAAAATTAAAAATAATCATTAAAATGATAAAAATGAAGCAAAAATTTAAAAAAAATTTCAAGACTTCTTTTTGTTGACTTGACTGCTGAGAATGGCCACTGTCATGAATACGTTTTTTTGCAGTTGTATCACTTGAACGTGATTCGTCCGATGATGACGAAGAGCTTGACGAAGATGATAAGGATCCACTGGATGAGGTTGACGATGTTTTACGATGCCTCCTTCTTTCATCATATTTTCGAGATCTATAATACTTTGAAATGAGTTAAAAGAATTAAAAAATGGTCAACTTCAATTAAGAATTATGCATCCGGAAAAAACACTGTAAATTTACAAAGTAAAATATACCGTTCATCAGACGAAAAATGATGCGAAATTCCAGAAAAGTTACGCCCAGAATTTTTGTCGCAATTTCTTCGTCGTCTTGAACTATTCCAAGAATTTTTGCGGCAATCATTCCTAATACGAAGAATTAGATAAAATAAAAAACAAATGAATTAGAAATGAATGACTGACTAATTATTTTACAAAAAAAAATAATCAAACATAAAAACAAAAAAACAGCAACGAGAAATTTCTTCTTATTATCTAAATTCCTATAACATTTTTTTTTTAAAAATATTTACCTCAAGGAAGAAACTTAAATATTACCTTGTTTCCTTTAAATGACTTGGTGGAAGTGGAGGTGGAATAAGCACTGATGATGAAGGCAAAATAGAACTTGATGACTTGCTGTTAGTTAAAGAACTTATAAAATTCGCGCCTAGAAATTGCACATAAGACATATTTTAATAAAGCATTAGAAAGAAAATAATTAAAATGATTTTGCAGAAACCTGAATTTTCAGTTGTTCCTCGTTCAAATCGATATTTGCGATCGAAGAAAAATGATTGGAGCTTATCGGAGCAGAAATCAACTTGAATCTCGACATCACGTTTTGTTTCTACATTCCAAAGTCTTCTGAAAATAAAAAATTCATTTAAACGAAAAAATAAATAAATTTCATTTAATACTGAATAAAGATATAAAATTTTACATTTTTTTTTGTCTCACAAGCGAAAAAACATCACGTGCAGCGTCTACACTTGGATATGTTAAGAGTGCTTCATTGTAACGCGAATCATAGTTTATATCACCAGATCTATCATAAAGTGTTGAACGAAATTTTTCGCGCAAATATTCTAAAGAACTGTTTGTTGGAATACCAGATATCCAAATTTTATTACTAGGCGCCGAACGTCCCCAATAAGCCTGAAAAAAAGTACAATTCAGATTCGCTATTTTTATTAAATTTTTTTTATTTCATAGCTTTAAAAATCAACAAATGTTCATAAAAGTCATCAAAATTTTTTTTGAATCATTTTGTTTTTTTTTAATTTTGTAACATTATCACAACTCAAAATAAAGGGACAAAAGACTAACTTTGATGCGGTTTTTATTATTCATATTTTGCGAAGACATTGAATTGATTGCACGTGCAACCGAAAGAATGTCAGAATATTGTATAAATGCTATTGGAAAGGCGCTATCCAGATTTCTCAAATCTAAAAATGAAAACCATACATATCATTCATATCTTTTTCATTCGGTCATCTTCAATTCAATTCAATTTCAGATCCTCTACCAGATACCTAGGAATGGGTATTTGGGTATTTTAACTGTTGCTACCAGTGCGCTCTCCTACATAGCTCTTATGTTATTTCTGGAATATGTTATTTTTTTAATTTAATGACGGTGGTAACAACGGCCTGTAATGACCACTGGGACTACTTCGGCCTTCATTTTCCACATCTTCTAAGTACTGGTCAAAAGCCGGATATCATAGTAGAGGACAATAACCAGAAATTAGTACAGAAATTATTATAGATAGTAATACCGAGTGAGCTAGGGAAAATAAACAAAAGAAGTTAGAGAAAACACCAGAAGCTGAAGAACTGTGACCTCTAAACTGGAAAAGTGGCTTCACCAGATTAAAAGAAAAACATTAGAGATATTTGTCCAGAACGAGTTGAAAATACTATGCGCAGAAACTTCAACCTCCCAAGCCTTTGTTCTCACCCACAGAAAAAGAGAAAGGGAATTTTTTTTATATATAAGGCTAAATCTAATTATGCAAATAACTTAGAATAAATTTACCAATGTCTAAAATATTGCCAAATTCTGAAAAACGAGAACGTAATGCTTCTTCAGTTGTACGTCGTTCTAGACCACCAAGATAGAGTGTTCGAGATGCTTTCGCATCGCACGCATCAACAACTGATGGCGTTATTGCTGCTGCTGTTGATTCCTGATAAGAATCCTGAAATGTTGAATTCTTGGAAATTCAGAAGTAAATTACCAAAAAATCCCAAAAAGAACTGACTTTTGAAGAATGTCTAGAATAAGCATCGGATAAAGCATTAGCTGATGGTAGAGCAGCAGCCTGCGCACTGGTCATAGCCAAAAAATCATTGTATGCTTCCATAACAACTACGGCACTAGCCAAATTCACCTTTGGTCGTAATCCAAATATAACATGAGGATCCGAAAGCACCTTCTCTATATCCACATTTAATCTAAAATTAATGAATTCATGAATTTCAACTGAATAAATTGATTTCAACTGATTAATAGATTTATTTGCAAAGAACCTGAAATAATTTCTCTGATAAAAAAAATTAAATCATTGATTTCAACCAAAAAAAATTGAATAAAAAATAAAATAAAGGATAACCTTTGAAAAATAATAAGTGCTCGCTTGTACTCATTAAAATTCCCACTTTTCTCTATATCAAAAGTTATATGAATTATTTTGCCATACTTACGAAACGATTGCATTAATGAGTCTTTTAAAGACGTTTCATTTCGAGACGACGATAAATTCGATATATAAACTCCTAGAAAAACTAAAAAATATAAAAAAGGGACGACTAGCGAAAAGATCGGATGGGTATAATATGTTTGCAACATTTTTACATACCTTGATGCACCCTCAAAATTCACTTTAACATTGCTTCAAACCCTGAGTAATGATGAAACCCTGAGTGATAAATAAATACAAAATTCACAATCAAATTTCAATAATCAAGAATATTCGGTAAATAGATCTTTAGCTAAAATATGCTTTCGATAACCTTGCATCCCTTGTGCACTACTTGAAAGTTGTGGAAACGCTGTAGATGATGATGAGACTGCAGCAGATGAAGCAGAAGTAGCATGAGTTGCAACAGTCGTACTTCCATCATTAAAATTTGATAAAGCAGAAGCAGAACTGCTTTCATTCGTATCAACTACACGTCGTGGTGCTAATTTGACTGTTGACAAGACTGACTGACTAGCTGCAGACGAATGATTGTATTGGCGATGTTGATGATGTGAAGATATAGTTCCCCTGGAAAAAAAATTAATACGCAGGTTGAAAAAAAACTTTTTTCAAACACCAAAATATTTTTCGATGAAGTTAATTTTAATCTTAATTAATTTAAAACAATAAGTGAATCTGCCAAATTTTTTCGCCGAATTACCTGTTTAGTGAACCATCGCTTGAATCGGTAGAATCTGTTTTTTCATATGTTCGACGTGTGTGTCGTCTACTACCACTTCGCCTAGAATTCATTCTTAATGAAAAACTGAAAAAAAACTACGTTTCTTACTAAATTTATATTTTTATTCTTATAATTTAATCGCCAATTACCATCATCAAACACATTCATCAAAAATTTATAGAATAAAAAAATAAAAATTCACCTTTCAGAGGTGACAGATGGTCGAGAACGTTGCGAGCGATCGTCATTCCTTGATGAAGAGCAATGTTCTCGTGATGAACGTTGAATTGTTGATGACGATGGTAATAAGCGTCGTTGATTTGACCTATAAGTTTTGTCACTCGACATGAAATACTAATATAATAAAATGAAAAAAAAATTCTTTAAATGCAAGTAAAATAAATAAAATTTTTTAAAAATACAATTTCAACATAAAATTTAAAAAATTTCAACATTTCAACATTAAATTTGAAAAATCCGACAAAAAATTACCAAAAAAATTAAATCAAAAAAACAAACAAAGATAAAATTTTCAGCTTCAATTTCAAAAATTTTTATTTCAAAAAATAAGTTAACCTTTCTTTTTGTTTTGATGATGATGAACATGGTGAATGCAATTCGGATGAACGTCGACGACAATCAGCTGAAGCTTGTGGAGAATCCATTCCGTTCGATGAATTCATAAGTCCACTGAAATTTTCATTATTCAAACATAAAACGTCAAGAATGAATTTTTTCATGGAGTTTCTTTAAACGATTTTTAATGATTTCCTCAATAAATTACCTAAATTTTCATTTAATTAATCAAAAAATTTTAATTTTTCATTCTTTCTTTTTTCTCAATTTTATAAAATTTTATTTAAATTTTATTAAATTTTATAACGATCCCGGCTCGAGGCAGCCTAACGAACCAAACGATCTTATATTAACCATTTTTAAGGAAATTCACATTCTTACAGCGAAAAAAATTTGCATAAAGGCAAGTTGATAATAATAATTTAAAAGAGCAATTTACCACTAATTTGCGAATCATCGGCATTATGTGGATTTATAAAAGAAATGGAGGACCAACACCGACGTTCCCAAATGCGACAGACAAATCCCCTTAGCTACTTCCTCCTACATAGATATACTAAATAGAGCAACACAGGGTAATCTTTCTTATAGCAATAATTAGAAATGAAAGAAAATTTATCGCATAATGTAAATTTTTCTGTAAATTTCCGTAAATTTTTAAAAAAACAACGAAGACATTTTTTAGCAATGCTTTGGAACTTTTTCATTCATTTAAAAATTAAATACATGTGTATAGAATAAAAATATTATTGTAGGTAAATAAAAAGAGGGGAAGAAAATGTAAGAATCCGTCATTTGCGTTATATTTCACTTTGATCGTTGATTCATTCTCATGCAAACCGATTTTACTGAAACTATTCATAGCTGGCGTGGCGTAAATTTATAAAACAACGTAATTCTTGGATGAATTTTCAATAACTCGCATTAAAATTACTGTTAATGAAAAAAATGGTTTCTTGGAAAATGGCTTACAACATTTTAATCTCAAAGCGATTTTCCATGGTGAAATGATGTGGCATAGCATAGACATACATATATCTTATATATCTTTTACTTACCTATACTTTTTTCAAAGCATTGCCAAAAAACGTTTCATGGCCTTTTGGTTTTGTATAAATTTTTGTATAAATTACGAAATAATCTGCAAATATTACGAAGTGAGTGAAATTTTAAGAAATTACATGAATAATCCTGTAATTTTACGATACTTTTCATGAAAGATAAATTCAAAGGGACGAGATTAAATAAATAATTTAACCGAACAATAAAAATAATTTTTGCAACAATTAAACAACGATTTCCTGTGAAAAATGAGAAAAAATTATTTGGTACATATATTCCATGATTAACGAAGAAAGATAACTTTGCTAAGACGCAAATCGAGAAATAAAAGAAAAATAAAGATATAATACATACAGTTGAAATCGTAAGCAAAAAGAAAGAAAAGATAAAGGAAAATGGAAAGAAATAATGTATGCTGTTTCTCCGTAAAAGACAAAGCCGAAGTACTGAAAATTGAAAATTGATTGAATCCATAAACAGCAAAAAAATAATTATTGGATTAGAGAGGGGAAAGGGGGTGGGAAAACTGTAAATTACAGGAGAGGGAAAGAGAATAAGAGGATGGAAATACTACAAACTGCAACAGGTAGAATGAAAGTGGAATATTTTTTGCGAAGGTCATTTTTTTTTGGATGAAACAAAAATGCATTCCATATTCTCACCAATAAAAAAATCGCCCTTCCATCGTCCGTTCGTCATAAAATTTTCCTTCTTAATCGTTAATAATTTTTACTTTCAAGTATTGTATATTCTAATATTTTCAAGAAAAAGGTTGCTACAATAAATAAACCTTAAAAGTAAATCTTTAAAATGCTCTTCAAATCGCATTATTCTGAAAATATTAGAACCTAAAATATTTAAACGTACTAAAATACTTTTTAACAAGTATCAAAGATACGAAATAGCCAACTAACTTTTCAAAACATTCAGCATGATAAACAGATCGATTTACTCTAGCATTTTACGAAGAAACAGCGCAAATTTCAGGCAATATGTAAAGGATGTAACAGTGGCTTATGGGACTCAATGAAGTACGGCGGGATGTGCACTTTTTTAAGGGAATATACCAATAACATTACTTAAGAGAGGAGGAAGGACTTGAGCGAAATAATGAAGAATAGAATACTATCGCATTTGGATGACACAGAAATATAGCGCTTGATTAGATAACATTATCCGTCTTAACATGCAAATGGTGATAAGAGAACACATGGAGATTTAAGAATATAAAATGGGGTACAAGGAGACTCTAAAGCGAGTAGCGAGTACGAGAGCGAGTACAGAGTAGTGAAGTGCTATCGCCGCGATTCCTCAGTCTATAAACAGGCGCCGCATTTACCTGTGAATGTATCGAGCTTTCGTAAAGTTTGATAATAAGAAACGTCTCTTCTCGACGAATACGCACACACACGTAAGCACTAACATCGTTAGTGTTGATAATTTAATGTTAATAGCGTTATTCGAACATTTTGATGAATGCAAATAAGTTATAAAAGAAAAGTTTGAGAAAATGAAGAATGAAACAAACTTTTTATTTTGATCATAAAAAGAGATCCGTAATTGGTGACCGTCGAATTTCGGCCTTTCCGAATGGACTTTTTGTGCAAAACGTACTTCGGTAAAACTTACAACAACACCACCACTTGCTTGCAATCTTTCAATTTTCTGCACTCTTCCAAAACTAAAAAGTATCCAAATATTGTAAAATTGTTATTTACAACTTGTTTGCAACTGTTATCGACGAACACTTTTCTTCCTAAACAATCTTGTGACAATTGCTCGGCCTGACAATGTAACGCAGTTAATCCTCGTTTCGAAATGGACTTCTGATTATAAGCTTCAATTTTTTCCAACACTGCACAATTTGAATATTGGTAGCACAATATTTTAAGAAAAAAAGCTATAAACTAACGTTGAAAAAAGTGACGTAATACGTTCATCGCTAACTGTATCGGATAAACCATTGACAAGCAGGTGGCGGCTTTCACGCGAACTCATTATCGGTAAATTTTTCTTCTTTTCAGTAAATTTTATTAAAATAAAACACTGATCGACAATCCCCGACAAATCAATCGATAATAGTAGAAATAATAATAATAATAATAAAACTGGTAAGATTGAACCGTTTTTAAATTTTCGACCAAAAATTTTATGTGAAATAATATTGACGACCATTCCATGAGGAATGGTTTAGCCAATTTTCTATTTCAAAATTCACTGCAAGAAAAAATGTTAAAATCTATTTAAAAATCGAGGGCAGTGCCTGCTTAAAGAGAAACAGTTGGAATTTCACCGCGGAATTAAATTCAGCACTCGGATACGTTAACAATCAATTCGCTTAATTTTCGTAATATCATTTCAGCTTATTATCACAATATCAGAGAGTGCAGATGGGACGACAGAAGTACATGTACACTGACTTTCAGCTAGAGAATTTAATAAGTTTATTCGTATCGCTGCATATAAATCCAACTTGTAACATAAAATTCACTCGTTTTTCATTTTTATCATTTTAATATGGAACTAAAAAAAATTCCACTTTCACTTTCCTGATTAATTGATTACTTATAATTACTGGTTAAAATTGCTGCTCGTATAATTAAAAAAAACTAAAGATAACTAATTTTTTATGGGCAGATCGCCAGCACTACTCGCCAACTAATAACCGCTTTACTCCTACCAGGAATCCAGGCAATGAATCATTCCCTCCCAACATCGATAAATCTTAAGCACTTCGCTATCCGACACCACAACCAATTTGTACTCATAGTAAAATTTGAAACTGAAAGTAAGAAAAATTTAAATCTAACCCATAAAATTTTTTAATTTCCATTCCTTCTTCTTCACTTCTTTCATTTTTTTACGGATTTCAAATGACTGTTAAAATAATTAAACCATTATAATTAAGCGAAATCACAAATTTTTCTTTTCAAATACGAAATAATTTAAAATTTGTTAAAAAAGAAAAAATTTTATTATTCTTTTTTCTTTGATCCTTTTTTCGCTCTTTTAAAAAATTGTATCAATAAATGAAATAAGTGATTAAATAAAAGTTTAATATCCTTTCACAATACAACAGCAGCAGTACAACAGTACCATTACTAATTGGTTCTATCCAACTCCATTAGGGGATATCAAGGAAAAGAGAATAATTCTAGTCACAAAACTCCTTTTATATAACTTTTTATAATAATTTTATTCCTATCACTCGAATTTAAAAATACTGATTGCGAATCGAAGTAACCATACTACTGAAAAAAGAAAAAAGGAAATATTTCCTCTTTACCCTTCTTATTTGCTCCTCATTCCATGATCGCCAAAAAATTTTAATCTTCTTAATCCTTAATCTTCTAACATTTCCCACCATTACTGACTGATTCCATTGGCTAAGGGTAAAATTTTATATTATTATTATTATATTATATATTATTATAATAATAATATAATATTACTATTATTATATTTATTATTATTATATTATCATTATTAAATAATAATAATAATTATAATTATAATTATAATAATTTTTTGTAAGTTCTGTGCCACTGCTGATAGTAAAGCCAATCTTTTTTCTTAAGTCCATATAGTGCTGGCCTACCTATATTTTCAAAATCTTTCCTAATTGTCCAGTACAAATCTACCAATCCAGACCTTGACTGGCCATCCATCCTTGCAAAGTTTGGCAAATATGTCAATTTCTCTGTGGCTGCGAGAGATGATCAATGAAGATGGGCGACGAAATGTGTAACCAAACCAGCGAAGGTGACACTCTGTGATGGTAATATTAATGCAGGTATGACTGCAGTGAAGGTGGACATTAACATGAGATTTTATCTGCTCGATGATTCCCATGAATGTATCTTAAACATATGTGGTCAAAGGTAGATAACTTCTTATCCTCCACTCTCGCCGGCCACATCTCGCAGTCATATAGCAAAATCGAGTGAAACAAAATCGCAGCTAAAAAGACGCACTTTTATTTTTACAGTGATTTCGCATCGGCTCCATATCATCCGGAAGAATGCATTTTTAGCTACTGTTGTCCACGTTGTAATTTTGTCTTTTGCCTGGCTATTCAGTGACAGAATGGACCTAAGATATTTAAAACCAGGCACTCAAACGCAGATGATCTGATGAAAATAAGTATTTTATCAGCTTCTTATACGTATATAGACTTTTGTTTTATTATATTTATAAATTTTATTTATATCGATCCGGGTTCTCACTGCAGTTGTCAAAAGATTGCTTAGTATTATTTGTATCTCGTCAAAACCGTCAGCATATTTAAGATCTGT